GTATTTTCAAAGACGCCGCAGTAAAACGAATAAACAGGTGCAAAAAACAATCAAACCATCAAGGTTTTAGGTACTGAAATCTACGAAAATACTAACTTTTTTATATATAATTCCACATGTAAATATTCTTATAACATTTACTTGCTTAGTCCTACATATAAAATTGTTTACTTTTATTTATAAGTACGTGAAAATAATTCTTAAAATGTGGAGTTAGAATAACAGCAAACACATGTTTTACAAACGCTTTTTTTAACTTATTATTTTATTTGAGTAAATTTAAATGGTAATAATGAATAAACAAAACATCAAAGATTTTATTTTTGTGCTTACTTTTGTTCTACACGTTTTACTTTTAAAGATTTCAGTACCTAAAAACGCCAGAAATTTCACTATTTCTCGGCCAGGAATATGGCCACCTTAATAACTACTTAGTAACTTAATTAAATTACATATACTTGCATGTACTTATTTATACCTGTTTCCTTTATTTTTTATATTAAAACGTAAGTAATTATTCTTTGGACTTTTTCTGCTAAAACCAATAAGTACTAATTACTGTGGCATTTCATTTCATTTATCATTTATTTTAGGCAAAGAATGATCTGCCTTGCACTTTTGTACAAATAAATTATGTATTTTACGAGTCTTTTTACTAGATTTTTTAAAATATTTTTGTATTAGAAATATATATAATATTTCGGTCTATATCGGCCGATACCGATAATCGGCCAAAGAGGCCGATAATGCCGATATACCGATATATGTATCGGTATCGGTCGATCCCCAATATAAACCTCCCTCTCATTATTCATAGTTAAAAATTAAAAATAGTGCCAAAACGATTTCACTACCAGACCTAACCATTCACTTCCATACGCTTGTTTATGGCCAGCTTGTAATCATTCACGTGAACGAAATGACGAATTCTCATTAAAATGTACCATAGTTTACATTACTTCAACTGTGATCCAACTTTACTATAATTTTTTCAAATTAATCCCCAAGTTACATTTTTCTCTTCTCTTCAAACTCGGCCAAATCACAGTCTGACAGAAGTTAATTGTATTTATTTATAAAAAAAAAAACAACAAAATTTGTCAAAAAAACAGCAGGAAGCTACTAGAAGAACAATAAAAGTTTGCACATATCTAGAAATTGTATGTTTTCTAGGTGTAGGTAAGATCCATCTCTTCAACTGTTTTTTTTTTAATCTGATTTGGTTAATTCTGTATGACTTTAAAGATTTGTACACCTACAAACAAACTTTTGTCGAATTCTTTTTTTTTTCAGTTATCTGCATTTTTATAGTTATTAGTAAGTAGTTCACTTAATATGTGACATTTTTAGTTAATTTATTTTTTTATGTTCCAGGTCTAAAACTTGAGGCAGCAAATTTGATTCACATCCATTAACTGATTGTCTAACATAAAAAAACGTCCATTTTCAAAGCCAAGTAGGCGACATACTTATTTTTTTCCTCCAAGACTGCCTACGACCGTCAACATTAATATTACTGAACGATTTACCAACAGCGACACGTATTTGGCTAAAAATAAACACGACCCCGCCAATAAGGACGGCAATTTTATCGTTAATATAGTATTGCAGTCTCAGGGTCGACATGGTAAGCTGATACTTGAGCAGGAGCATGTCGCCTTCGAATCGTGGGATTTATTTTTAGAAGAATCATTCCAATTACGAAACGTTTCCCAGAAAGTAAACAGTTCAATACATAGCGGTGGATGGGGTTAACGCATCCAGAAAAATCTCTGACGACGGACTTTGACGGCGAGTTTTCTCCAGAACACTGCTAGAAGGTCGGTGTTTTTGACTTGATTTTAAGATCTGTAAGAACGCATCTGCATTTTGTATTTTCTATCGATTCCTACGAGATATATCAGTTAGACGAAACCATCAGAGACCAGTACGCCTATGGCCTGCACCAACACATGGCCTTGCTTACAATTTTACAATTACTGCGACCGTACTACCGATAATTGTCGTGTTCGTTTTAAAAATAGCCGTCGAGTATTTTCTACCCGAGAAAAACACCACAATGGATACGGCGAAAGAAAGGAGATTTTCCTTACCTCAAATATATCTGCTTGAGGGCCACACTGCCATTCACGCAAGTCGCCGGTATCTTCAGGGACGGGAGAAGGTCCTTCCAAGCGTTCCTCGAATTGACCTGCAAAGATAACGAGGGTACATTATTATCGAGCATCACCGACTTTTATCTCTTAAGTTCCTATCGAGCCGAGAAGCCTCAAAAGCCTAATAATTTTTGCGTTATAATATCTCGTGTTTACTTTGCATTCCGATAATTTTTGTTTTATTTATTTAACCCGAGTTTTGTTCAGCATCTGACACTCCACGTAATTTCGTAACTTTTATGCACACGATACAGTATTTGCTAGTAAGCATTTCAGTATGATATGACTAAGTGTATGAGGCACGTAGGTACTTGCAAAATAAGACGTTACTTCATTAAAAACAATAATAAACGTGAGAACAACGATTAATCTCGATTTTGTAATAACATATGTCTACTTTGAACCGTGTTTTATAACTCTATTGTCTTACAGAAATATTTCTTTATAAGATAAACCACACTTGACACGAAATAAAACAGGGGACGGCATGGGCGTAGCTAGAATTTTTGCTTGGGGTGGGCACAGGGCTGCAAGCTTTATGGAGCATCTAAAAAAAAATTCACAATCGGCAACTTGAAATTTTCAAAAACCTGAACACGTTTTGATTTCATTAAAAAAAAAGGTTCGCGTAGTCAACGACTTACCGATATGCCGATATGATATTAGATCTTTTTTCTGGGATGGGCCGTACACACTCCTGCTTCCCCTTAGCTACGCCCATGATTATAATCAATATAGGGTCAAATCTAATTCATTTGAATTTAAATGTTTTATAGCCATTATACTATCTTTATACAGGATGTTTCAGTTTATGTTTCGATTATTCCTTCATAGGACTTTTTAGAGTTGATATTTGAAAAAACATGTATTTTATAAAATATTTCCGATTTTGATGAATTTATATTTAACGATTTGTCTGATTAAAATTAAACATTTATTAAATTTGATTATTTTAAAGTCACTGCTTATAACTCATTGTGGTAATTCTAAGAAAAAAAAACTATTTTATTGTAAAAACCGACAATTTTTGACTTATTTTTGCTTTTTTAAATTATATTGTCAGCTACCAAACACCTGAAATTTTCCACGGATTTTTTCTCCCGACTTTTTCTCCAGGCTTGCCCGCGCCTTGCACACCTCTGCTCCCCCCTAGCTGCGCCCATGGGGAAGGGGCTGTATCGGCGTTAATAACAGAATATTATTTATTTTGAATATTTACGCAAATTATTTTCTGAGAAAAACAGGAATTACTAAACAGGAACTAAACTATTGGAAAAAAAAACATAAATTGAATCCTGTAAATAGTCTTAGCAAAGTATAAAACTAACAAAAACTTGAATGATAGATGGTGGATATTTTGAACAATTTTTATAGTCCTAAGATTTATTAGTTTGTTTAATAAAGGTTAACTAATTTGAAACTTTAAACACAAATAATAGTTATTGTTATATCAACCATTATTTTTATTTATCAGGCTACTTTGATTGAACAGTACTTTGTTTTCGCCTTCAAAAGACTTACAAAACTAGCCCTCGAGTGTCAAAAAATAATGATTAGATCAAGAGTTATAAACAACGAATCTTGACGATTTTTTTTTAACTTAAAGCTCTTTTCATAAGCTTTCCGAATATGTGATAATATATAACTATATCACGCTCGTGCGTCGTATATTTCATTTTACAACTAAGGCTAAAAATTAAAAAAAAAATTCCAGGTCGCATTTGAAATTTTAAAAAAAATGATAGATTTCAATGTATTATTATGAAATCTACCATGAAAAAAATCAGTGCGATTGTGGATGATCCTCGGGATCGTCCAGACTAATAATTAGTTAATTTGTTTATAAGGCCATAACTTGTAAACTATTCAACTTACCGATTCCAGATTTCGTGCGAGTTATTATACAGTGATAAGAAATGAGAGGATGCGATGCCAAAACGTTCTGGTAATAATAACGCAGTTTATAAATGTTTAATTCAA